TCCCGCCCTCTCTTTGCGCATGCGCCCTGCAAGGCAACTCGGAGGGCGGTCCCGAATGTGCGCATGCGCAGTGAGAGGGAGGTGGTTGGGAATGGCAGGCGGGGTTCTGAGTGTGCGCATGCGTGGAGCGAGGGGGAAGCCGTTGGGAACGGCGGGCCAGGTTCTGAGAGTGCGCATGCGCCGCTATCTCACGTGCCGCCTGTTGTTGGTGTCGGGAAACTGCCTTCACAGGCAGCAGAGGGCGCCACTGCTCCTCTCGGAGCACGGCGGGATTCCCGCGACTCGAGGAGCTCGGATGGCAGCGGCCCCACAAGCAGGCCCATGGATCTCTGTGGGGACACCCCAGTCACCTCCGCACAGCACCCTGTGGTGCCCCAACCTGCCCCAAGATGTTGCTGATATGCACTGGAGATCCCAGCGGGAGGGAGGCAGACACCCCCCAATCCGTACCAACGCGACTGGGGGGTCCTGTTCTGTTCTGACCCCAAATCTGGCCGTTGCTTTGACCCCGCAAGACCCTCCCGCCAGGAACCTCTGGGATTGGTTGCAGCAGGAGCGTGGGTGCAGCCCAGCCAAAGTCCTGGCTTTGGCGGCAGCCACCACCCAGCACCTCTGAGGGAGACTTAAACACACCCTGAGGTTTGCAGCAGGAAGCGGGGAAGGAGGCAAGCCAGGGAGATCTGCAACCTCCTCTTGGATACCCGCCCACGATGGATCATAGTCCACCCGGCCTCACTATCCTAACAGGGAAGAAGGGTCCACGAGGGGGCCATCCCACGACCACACGGACATGGTGACAACTGAGGCAGAGGCCACCCCATGTCACGAGGCACGTACCCAAGCCCTGGTGCAACACACTCCTTCCTTTAATGCCCCCTGCACCTCCAGGGGTGCAGAGGATACAGCGACTGATGCGGTTTCAAACTCCTCCCGGCTTCTGCCGCCGCTTGTGAAATAAAACAGATGCATCCTTTGTCTGAACAACTGTCTTTAATAAAAAGAAACCCAGAAACCATATCGTGAGTGTACTCTATAGGAATGCAGTGACAGACAAGATGTATGGCTCAAAGCGTCGTCTCTCGACGATCGCACATATACGCAGGAGAGGAGCAATAAGATGTGACAGCAAGTTATCACTTTACAACGTTACACGGGGAGGGATCAGACTTGACAAATAAAATATTTACAAACTTACCTTTACAAAACAACCGTGTGTGCGTACAAAATGAAATTGGCCCTAAAACAGAAGATACACTTAAGGCAGACCAGCAATACACTGAAACAATTAAGGCTGTGGAATTAGTTTGCACCTTTAAAATGCTGAGCTATTAGCAATACTGTTTCTTTTTTCCTCCTTCAAGTGACTGTTGCTGAGATTGAATAGCATCAGTGTGCGCCAACTGTTTACTCTTTGGCCACTGCTGTTCATCTGGGGTTAGGTCTCACTGAGATTGCATTTGTGATTGTCCCCTGCATTTGCCTTCCTTTTGGTATTCGCAGAAAGCATGTGTGGTTTTACTGACCTCAGTGGCAGAGTTATTTTGAACAGTTTGGTAGAAAGAGAAGTAAAAGCACCAGCATCAAAAGTTGGACATGGAGGTGAAATATGGCTTAAGTGAGTAGAGAAGATGTTCATTTTCACTAGCTTCATATTCAAAGACTACGATGACAGCAAATATTCAGAATCCTGACATTATGGTAACACTCACCGCTATACAGAGTCCAGAATAGGATTTCATCACTTGATGGCAGTGTGCAGTCGGCCTTGTGAAATGGGATTTTATTTTGTTCCCTCAGGAAAGCACCATTTTCTGATGGAACGCAAAAGTGTGAATGGGACAATAAATCTGCATCTTTGAGAGGACTCTGCCTCACGGGGGAATGGACAGGGAATAAAACCGAAAGGCTAGTCTGCGTGCGTGTGTATAATGGTTAGTCAGACCGTTCTGGTCTGCACATTACTCACCAAAGTGGTCTCTGAAAATTGTGTTATCTGAGATCATTTGATTATCATCCTCTAAATGAGAAGGCATTAAGGTACTGTTATACATAACCAAAGACCCTCCTTTCAAATAACACTGTACAGCTCCATCGTTAGCTTCTGCTGATGGTTTGCATAGCAAAGGTAACTCATGCCCTCAGCTATACTAATGAAATCCACCAAAGCCCCAGAAGTCATACAGGTGACATCCAGGGCAGAACTTGCCCAGATCTTAACTTAGTTTTAAAGGGAAATATTTTTTTTCTAGCAACCAGGTATCCAGGTTGTAGCTGTATTGGTTTAGAGGCAAAAGGAATCAGAACTTGTGGCAGAGGGGATATCTTTTATTAGACCAACTAGATGTTTGCAAAAAAAAATCTTTATTTGCAAGCTTTCGTGCACAGGCACCGAAGATTTCTAGCAGCCAGCACCTCAAGTTAGTATTGCTGCAGAAAAGGTCAGTTATTTAGAGGAGGAAGGAAGAAGGGTGAGAAAGATGCTGGAGGATAAGAAGATAGGGCACGCAAAGCTTGGATTGTTTTAAGTTCAGGGTTTAAAATCCTTGAGCCTTCTTCCTTTCTGCTTATTGGCCCTTTTCAGGAACCGAGAGGCAGCTAGCCTGCTGCACTGTGAGCTCTGTCTTAAGGCAGCACTTTGGGTCTGCAGCTATGTAGCATGGCTGAGACATCAGGATTTATTCTGTGGCAATCCTGGGTTTAGAGAGCGGATAAAAACTTTCAATAGTGCACGGACAAGTATAAAAGAGTATGTGTAACGTACACACATTTGGCCTGGCCACTCTGAGGGTGCAGAGAGATTATCCTTTACCCCAGTGTCATTGACATCAGGCTTGTATACTAATGTAAATGATGTTGGCACTGGGAACAGACAGATGTGAAGCTGTTCCAGGATGATAGGTGCTATCACAACACCTTGGCAGGGTGGCAAATTATTGCTTGTTTGTCTCTAGCACACAGCTACCATAGAGTGGAAGCGGACATACGTCTAAACCAGTTTTATTTCCACTCGTAGAGTTTTACCTCTGATTTTTTCAGGGGTAATTCTCCATCAGATTGGGTGAAGTTCCTTTGGTTTAGGGATTTTTTTGTTGTCTGATTGCTTGCTACATTTTTATACTGATATAATGCTAATTACACTGGTATAAATGTTTAATATGTCCACACCCTCAGCAGAGCTAGAAGATTTATGGGCAATGAGAAACTAAGCTTTCTCCACTCAGTTTATTTTTGCCATGTGCATTTCCTTAAAAATTGTCCATCATAGTTCAGTCCATCAGCACAGGACTATAAAACAGATTTCTTTTACAGGTGGATACTTTAGTAACTGCATTACCACCTTCCAGGATGTCTTCCAGCAGGGGTGTCTAAGCAACCAAGTGGCCCAAACTTTAGCATGGTAGCACATGCCCATCAGAGATTTGGGTTATGTACTCCAGTTGTCAACCCATGCTTAAGCTTGTATCAGATTTTTGGTACTATTGTTATCTGTGCTAGCTAAATTATAACTCCTGAACAATGTCTTTCCATGCTACAGTCACACCATCATTTGGCTATAAGTGTGCCTTGAATGTTACAGATTCCTGGCATAGCTTCATCCCTACTTAGCAACTGTCTTAGGGCTTTGACTTTCTTAGTAGCCTAACTGAACATCATGAACTTTTTCTTGTTTATAGTGGGAAAGACTTAACATGATGGAAATGCAGGGAGACAAGGCTGTTGTAGTTCTGCATCCACTAGTCCACTTTGCGGCTCCTTTTGCCCAAGTGGTTGGGCTTCATGGACATCATGGGGGCAGAGTTATACCCTCAAAGAAGTGCAAAGTCCAGACCTAATTAGTTGAGTGGGAGCAAGATCAGATCCACTCCCCTAGTGTTTAATGGACAATGACACTTAGGAGCCAAATTGCCACTTATTCAGACAAAACAATTCCTAATCAATGGGAATTTTACCTAGGTGACCAGCGCAAGACCTGGCATGAAACAATTCTAGATACACTATTATTAAAGAGGCCAGAATTTTCGGAGCGTACAGAAAAAAAGACATGCTCAAGAAATGGTTCTTTCCAATGCAAAGTTACTAAACCAATAAAGAAAAAGAAATGAATAAGATCTATGGGTTTGATGTTCCGTATCTCCCAGTTTCTCCTCTAAAAGTCACCTCACTGTCTTAAAGCAGTTTTAAAGCCACAGGACTGAACCCAGCATCCTCTTTCAGCTGCCTTAATTTTATGCCAGTAAAACACTTAAAAAATCTCTTTAATTAACCCAATATTTTTCCTACATGTCCCAAAGTGGTATGCGCTTGGTGTGGCAGTTGGAGACTGGAATATAGTTGTAAGGAAATAAAATCATAACTCACGATTTCACAAGATCCATGATTTTTTGAAATCATGCAGAAAGTTTATGGTTTAACAGCTACACAGGTCTTAGAACAGCTGTGGGTTCTGTTAAGCACCCTCCCATAAACCTTTTTAAGGGCAGCACAGTCACAGCAGATAGACAAGATATCCCCACAGGCCAACTTCTACAAATAGGAAGAGGGGGAAAATAAACAGTCCCATAGTGAGAAAGTACCTGAGAGCTGAGCTAATGTAAGAAGCCCGTTGGTGGCTGTCATCTGAAGGAACATTTGCAGCCATGCTCAGGCTGCTATTCCATTCTCTGTCTTGTGGGAAGGGGCCACTGCACTGCATTGCTTGGAAAATTAGCTGCCACATTAAAGGGAGGAAATGAAATAGGTTTCAGTTCATGCATTCTTTTCAGCGCCTGGCCAAGCCTCTCCCCTTCCTAGCCCTTCGAGCAGACTCTTGCTGCCTGTTACTGAGTACCTGACCTTCCCCCATCACGGATGCATTATTAGGATGCCCCTGACACTAGCCAGTTACTTAGTCTCCCCCTCTAATGGTGGGTCCCCTTTCCCAAGGCTCCATGTTTACGTCTACACTTGTATAGCGGTGAAAGTCTTGGCCTGTTTCTTTCTGTTTCTTTGTCCACTAGCAAAACCCACCCGACAGCCACAGAGGGCCCTAGCTTCATTGCGACGGTGCAGTTTCACGGTGTAGGACAAATGCAGTGCTCTAAAATCCCAGAAGGAGCTGAGTTTTGAAGAGGATCAAGGGCTGGTAGAGCCCCGAGGCATTAGCAGTGCTGGCAGAGGGATTTTGTCACTTTGGGGCTGGAGAGACTGTTTTTCTGCCGATCTACCGACTCCTGTGGACACTACCAGCAGACAGACCACTTACCACTACTGGATTTCACTATTGCTCCTAGGCAATTGCTCAAGATAGGCTATGATGTGCACAGATTAGCAGATCAAACCTTTTGCCTTGGGAAATCCAACCCTGCGAATCAAGAGTTCACTATCAACTGCTGTGGTAAGAGCTTGGATATTACCTACCCCAGGCACACTGGCAGAGCTCACCATTGATAGAGCTACCCATGTGCCTGGAAAGATATACCCCTTTCCTGATTATCTGATCAGTCAGATCCCCCACCATGCGCTGGGTTGGGACCTATTAACTGTCCCAAGATGCTGGAACAGGATGAGGGAGTATTGCCTACTCCTCCAGTCATACTGCTTAAAAGGGAAAATTTGGCCAGCTTGTGAACTATGAGATTTCCCATGTTGCTTGTATTTAAAGTCAGCCCTGCTACCATAACATCAATATGAAAATGTTGCAAGTTGGCTTGGAATGATGATTCTGTTATTTCTAACTAGGCTTTGGACATAAAAGATAGCCTCACAAATGCTTTGGTGATGGAGCCTTAAAGCAGCTGAAGAAATATTTATGGATCTGGAAACATCAGCAACCAATTTTATACATAGAAAACCATTCTGAAGCTGTAAGCACAAGGATAAACTCCCTACTCTTACTGCACTTTGACTGGCTTTGGACCAAGCAGTTTTTGAAGCTAGAAATGAAACAGGGTCCTTTTTATATATTTATATATGTACACACAATATAGGTATATTGAACAACCTGTGATACAAAAAATTATCGTTGTTAACATCATCATCTAGTTTACAGATACTGCAAAAATTTGACACCCTTTTCTCAACACACAGGTTCTGCAAAAGATTTCTGTACAAGGCTTAGAAAACATTTTTTAAAAAACCATCGTCGTCTCATTGTGCTTAGTCAAAACAGCTTTATTCTCCAGTGAATTCACTGCCTTAACTGTCATTTTGAAAGGTACTGCATGTTGACTCAATATAGCAAAAGATTCTATAATCCTGTGTGGGATTTCTGCCTGCTTGAGCAAGACTGTAAAGAAATATTGAAATCACACCATCAGAAAAGCTGTAAATAGAGCGTGACCTTGTGTGCCCTCTTCAGTGAAGTCAGTGGGAGTCCTGGGTACAGAGGGCTCACAAAATTCAGCCTTTATTAAGGACTTAGTTATCAGTGATTTCTCCAAACTCCAAATTCAATTTGAATTTATTGTAACTATTGACTGCCTAGATTCAGCCCAGTTTTACCCACTACTCTGCTCCAACTCCATCGTTTATATTTTGAAATCAGTTCGGCAAGACCAACAGGGGTCTCTTATAAGGCTGCCTTTAACAAAAATAAGGCAACAGTATTTTGGTTCCCTCTTCCAGCTGGTGTTCATCTTAAACACCCTCTTTGTTGTGTGGACTTTACTATAACAGGCAGATTTCTTGCTTCCCAAGAATAGCCTTGTCAAGAGGCTGGATGTGCCCACCTGAAACCATCTATATTCACTTTGGTTCTGAGTAATTGGACAGATACTGCAACTACTGGTACAATTTATAACCCTCAGTCTGGGGAACCACATGAAATTAATACTTAATACAGAATTATATACAGACAGATTCTGCAGCATGTCTGCTCATACTGTATTCTGGGTCTTAGGACTAGTCATGTAATAGCTCAGGAATATATTGCATTACGTTCCAGGATTCATCCTGTTCATTATGAAGCTCTTAACATTGGGAACTGGATGCACGTCATATTGGTGCTTGCGGCGCTCTATGAAGGAAGCCAAGCGGGAGGTATCCAGTGGGATTTTGGAATAGTTGCCAGTATGTGGCTGCAGCCAGGGATGCTGTAAACAGGTGGCTGCTGTTGGTCTTCTCCTGAAGTCTTCCTGAAGGATAACATTGATGAAGTCTCTGGCAGCCAGGCTCACGTCCGAGAAATACTCTGACGGGAAACTGAAATCCACTCTGCACACATTTATGCACGTCTCTTCTTTGCTTTCATCCAGGAATGGAGAGACACCACTTAACATGACATAGGTGAGGACCCCAATGCTCCAGATATCCGTGCTCAGTGAGACAGGGACACCTTGGATAACTTCAGGAGCTGCAAACTCAGGGTTTCCAAGCAGTTGGTGAATGTGGTAATGTCCTGTGATTTGAACTGCATCTTCCAAGTCTATCAGCTTGACCCGAGGCACAGGGATCCTTAAGTCAATGAGTAGATTTTCTGGCTGTTGAAATAACAAGAAAAAAAGTATATAAGGTATTTTTTGCATATGGAATTTATTTCCTTCATTTAAGGATACACCTGCTCCAATATTTAGCTTTGCTTTTCACATTAACCAGCCCATCAAGACTTACATATCATCATAGAGAAAATACTAATCAGGACACATATTGCCTGGGACTGAATTCTAGCTCTCCTTTACGTGGCTGTAAATTCAGATCAAACTGGTTTAATTCCCGAATTCATCTTCCTAGACTGAAAACACAGATCTTAATTTTAGATTAAGACTGTATCGTTAATTTATTTAAATACCTTTTGCTCATGTGGCAAGCTAGTTTCTCAAGGGTGTTTACCTTAAGAAGTGACATTTTGATCTCACAGCAGTGGAAATTTGAAAAGACTTCACTGCAATCAGTAGAACTGCTGTAGATTTATACAGCTGAAAAAACATTCCCTTGCTTCCTGTGATTCCATTCATAAATGCTCTGCTAATTATTTTTATCAGACTGCAGGCATACTTGGTCTCAACATCTTTTAAGTCTCCTCCTATTCTACTGACTTCTCTGTCAGCATTTCCAGCAGTCCTGTCCTACTTGACTGGAGACCTTCAGGGCCCAGTCCTTGCCCTTCACTTTGGACTTTCCCCCAGATCCTTTATGAACAGTGGATTCAGCTCTTTATATTGTAATGCCTGTTTTCTTCACTGCCATCCATTCAAAATCCTCTGCTTGCCTCTGTTTTAATTCCTCATTTTCATGCCTTTTTATTGTGACTTCAAAGTCAACATGCCTAAAATTTATTGCTTTCCAAAGTCTTCTCTCTCTCTTCTCTAAATTGCTGTTGATATGCTCTTCATCTCCCAGTCTCCTGATTGGCCTATGACTTGCTCTATTGTCTACTGAAACCTCTGTCTCTTTCCGCCACATGATCGGTCCCTACAGTTTCATTTATTTAGAGCATCTTTCAATGCTCAACTGAAGTGGGCTCCTGCCTTTGCTTTGGAAAAGAATCCCAAGTTCTAAGGGGGTCCCTGTTGCAGGATTCACTGTAATTTCTAAGTACCTTACAGAGACACCTATCTACTTACTGTCCAGTCTAACCTCTTGACAGGTCCAGCAGAGAATACAAAGAGTCACAGTGAAAAGGAATCCTGCTATCACAGACAGTCGGGGCTAAAGTGTTATACAGAATATGTTAGAAAAAAGATTCTGTCACAGGAAATGGAAGCACCAAAGTAGCTTTTCAACTGGCTCATTTCCGAGCTGAAGATTCGAAATGACTTCTCTGTGGAGCACTGAATGCATTATTGGCTACTAATTGGGAAGGAAATTCATGCAAGAGGGCAGGCTGGTCCCTTAGATTAATTAACTCTGCCATAAGATCTTACAGTGGAGTAATTAACTCTACAGAAATACTTCTGTAGATGGTGACCTGGGCCTACATTGTACCTGGGAGCAGCTGATTTTGGCCCAAACCATGTCGGGGTTGATTTTTGCAGCTTCATCGCTCATGTAGGTGCACCCAACGTAACCTGAGCCAAGGTTAGGTCACACATTGCTGAACCCCCACAGGCCTCACTCAGAACACTAATCCCTGTGTGCTGTGCTGGCTATTATCTGTCAGACTGAAGAGTCGGGATGCTAATCGGTGGAACATTGCAGCAACCAAGTTAGGACGATGTCTGTATCATTCAGCGTAACTCTGACCTCGGAGCCGCCTCCTGCTACGGGCAGTAACAAAGCAAGCTTGACTCCGGGTAATCTAGCTGAGGCTTGACACCAACTACTTCCTGGGTCTCCTATGTTCCCAAAAATGCACTTGGGAGATTTCTCTTTTCCATTCTAACCAAATTGGTTTACTTTTCCAGTCTCTTGCACTGGATTCCTCTCCTATCTCATTCAATGTTTAAGCAACTTGTCTCACTTCCAAGGTTCTGTATGTTGTCTGCTTTCTTTTTTCCCCTCTCGTACTCTTTGCTCTACTCACGTCTCCCACATTACTTCTCCCTTTCTATCTTTTCTTTTTTTGAGGGGCCTCTTTCATTGCCCTCTTTTCCACAAGCTCTTTCCCTCTTCGCACAGGCTAAGGCATCTGCTCTATTTTTTTGTCAAATTCCTCCTTAAAACATACCTCTTCTTCTGACCATAAATCCATAAAATAGAGAAACTGTCTTTTCTATTAGAAGAAAGGAAGAAACCCTTAACTCCAGCAATAAACCTTCTTCTGTCCACCTCCTACCTTATATGTCTTGAACCTCCTATCTTATATGTCTTGAACTGGAATGCTTGTCAAATAGCCTATAATTTCTTGAGGACACAGGCTGTTTCCACTCTGAGCTTTCTCCTCCTGGAGCTGTCTGTGCTTAACTAGCAAATAACAGTTTCATTCTGTTTTCTTCCTACCTTTATGTCTAAATGAGCCACTCTGCAATTGTGAAGATATTGTAGTGCCTCCATTGTATCTCTGATGTAGAAAGCTACTTTCTCCTCCATCAGCTCATCGTGATTCATGAGATAATCCAAGAGACGGCCATCGTCCATCCTTAAAACAAATCAAAACTCTGACATGAAAGATCTATATGAAGCACCTGGGGATGGTTAATATTTGAAAGCATAGTGGCAAAGGAAACTCAGTGACCTAAAAATGGAGGCAGGTAAAATGAAAAAGTTGGTGTGTATATCTAAAGATATAGCAGGCCAAAAAAACTACACAGTGCTTAATCTTCAGTTATCACCTGTCCTTGAAAAGTCCAAAATACTGAATAGAGCTGCAAGATACTGAAATTTGCTCAAGAACTGGTTCAGCACACACAGGCACTTCCTCTGAAAACAAATGCATTCACCTACTAAGACTTGCTAGCTGATTGGGTAATGGATAGAAAATGCTGACATTTTCAATTGGAAGTATGCTTATTGATGGATCTTGACCCAGCTTGATTTATTTGTATAAACAAACACACGAAGAGCACAGGTGAATTTAATGAGATGTTCCCCAACTCCAAAGCATTTTTCATTGCAGTGGCTGTAGTGTTGTTGCAGGCCAATGGCACTCACTGCACTATATTTACCCCCTGTGGCCCCAACCAACCACGCAATCTTGCACAGGCTAAGGCATCCATTGGCACTTATTTGGATGAAAACTGGTTTATGTGTATACATGTATTTTTTTTTTAAATCTCGTTTCAAGGGCTAAATTGTTTCTGAATCCCATTGGGCAAAGCCCAGTATTCAAATTCCAAATGTCAACTGAGCAGAGCTTGAACATTTGAATCTGTGTGGTGCTATCCACCCTCCCAGACCTATCGGTCTGGGGCTTCAGGTACACCCCAAATCCATGGCAGGAATTCAACATGCAAGCCCCAAGCCCAGGGCCTTGGAGTTCAGATGCCAAAAGCCTGAGGAGCAAGACACAGGCAAAGCAAGAACGCAATCCTCCAACACCACAACACTGTGCAGTTGAGTTTCCCGCATTGGGGAAGCTCACAGGGGTCAGCCTGTCCAGAGTGCAAGGGGCAGGCCTCACCCTATAATTACACTTGCTCGGCTCAGAGGATCATGGGATCTCCCCTGCCAGGTAAGTTACCCTTTCCCAACTGATGCATATTTAAACTGAAGTATCAAAGAAGTTAAACTACTCTCTGATGTAGTTCACATTGCTTGCTGATTTCATTCCACTGGCTTCCACTGAGTTACACCAGAGTGGGTTTGTCCCAAAGACTCTCGTTTCCCTTTAATCCACAAATGAGAGCCAGGGTGAAGTGGCCGTTCTACGTAACACCCCAATCAATGAAAGTCAGAGGGTGAAAATCCTGGCCCTTTTGAAAACCATAGGTGTCTTGCCAGTGACTTCAGCAGAGATAGGATTTTAACTAGAGCCTCCATTGAGGCCCAATACTTACAGTTCCAAAACTAAGATATAGGAAGTGGGTGACTCATAGGTATCATGGATGGTGATGTACTGCGGGTGCTGTAAGTGCTGTAGCAAAGCCGCTTCATGTGCCGCCTGCTCTTTCTTTTTCATTTTTTTGCTAATGAATTTCACGGCAACATCTTTCCGGGTGGCTTTGTGAACACATTTCTTTACTACGGCGAATCGACCCCTGGGAAAACAGGATAATGAAGAGGACCCATGAATAAATCATATTTATTTTTCAGGGCAACAACAGTGGTTTTCAAAGTGTTGTTTGAGTGAGTGTATTAATATTTTACGAGGAATCAGATGTGTCTAGTTGCTCAGAACCTTTTCCTACAAAGAACTTGTGCTCTTTATCCTGGGAGTAGGGATTCTTTGGGGATCAGCAAACAGACATAACAAATGGTGTCATTTTGTGTTGTGCAGCCTGTGTGCTATTGGCTAATGATCTCCCGTGAGTTCATATTGCTGCAGCTTTAATTTTTTTGAGAGCAAGTTCCCCCCAGAAATGACTTTGATAAGGACAATGTCATTTTTCAGAGCACTCAAAGCACCCTCTTCTTAATTAACAAATCATTAATAATGATGCCATCTCACCATTTCATGAATAAGAACAAGTGATCAAGAGCAAGAAGCAGAAGGGAATCACTTGTGCAATGCAAGTGAGCTCACTGTCCAAAGCTGTCCCTAACAGTATCACAGCAGAGAAAGAAGGGTGAAGTTCTCTTATCTGTAGCTAGAAAACCTACTGATGAACCCATGCACTGCATACAGACATAGCTTTGACAGACAATACACTTACATTTACTGTTTTGGTACAGGGCAGCAAATTATACCAGGATCCAGAGTGGAAGACAAGCAGCTGAGCTGGGGTAGCCACCTGCAGTGGTCTTTACTATAATGCCTCACAACTGGATGCTGAGGGAGGAGGTAATGGCCTATTTGTCTTCAGCACATGGGTATGTGGGGATGGATGGTATAATTTTTAAACACTGGTATAATTTTAAGGGGACAGATGACAAACACTGGTATATTTTTTACTGCTGTAGTTTTACCTTTGATTTTTCCTGGCATAATTCTACACTGGATTTGAATAAATTATACTGGTGTAAAGGATTACATCATCTGCACACTCCTTGTTCACATTAGCATAAAGGCTGATTACACAGGTGCAAATGTGTCATCTTTCCAAGCTCTATATTACTTACCCCCTGTAGAGCCAGGGTAGACCCCCAGCCCTGTAACTCCAGAATCACTGCTCTCTACCACATGAGACAGAGAAGATAGTCATACTGTTAGGTTCCTATTCATAGGTATGAAACCACCATGGGGTGTTAACAGCCAGAGCTGGCCTTAGGGAAAATGGCTCCCTGGGTGAACTTGCATTTTGGTGTCCCCTGTGTAGTTTGGCTTCTGGCTCTGCACCTCTGAAAGGGGTGGCTCCAGCTCAGCTCTGTACCCCCACACCTAGAAGCACACCACATCCTGAAAGCCAAGCTCCTCAGCTGATCTCAAGAGTCCCAGACATGGAGCTTGAAGAGCAACACCGTATTGCACCAGATTCTTAACATGGCAGGGAGAGTTGGCAGCCACTGCTGGGCCCACTGGGCAGCCTGCTGCCTGGGGACAGCCGAGCCAGTGCTGCAGGGAGCTTCTCTGCCCCTGGATGAGGAGCAGCAGGCTCCCCTTCTCCTCCTCCATCACTCTTGCTGGCCCACCTCTTCTGTGACAGCATGGGTTGCAAGGCCTGGGCACCATCCTGCCTGCACTCCACTTTCCGGGGCAGCCACATCCATCCGCAGGAGGGTATCTGCAGGAAGGGAGGGATTGAGGCCACTGCCTGCTGGCCAGGATGGAGGGAGATCTGTGTGGAAGCTGGGGGAGATGTGCACTTGGAGGCTGTGGGAGCTTAGGCACGGGGCTGAGCTACCAGACCCACATGGGTTGGCCCTTCTCTCGCTCCCTACAGTTCTCCAGTTCAATCAGGTTTTTTTTCATCCAGCTTAACTTCAATCATATGTTTAAGTGCTTTGTTGAACTGGGTTCTGAGGATCAAGTATTCCAAGGACTGCCAGATTTCCCTGACATCAGAAGCACAGGTCAGACTGCAGGTAAGCGAGGAGTTCGAAAAGAAGATAGCTAACACTCCCAGTGACAGTCACAGTCCAGAAACCCACATTCAGATCTTCCTTTCCAAGTCACAGTCCTCACACCATATTCTAAAACCGATCATGAAAATAAGGTGTTTAGCGTTGATGTGTGCACTCTGCAATTATGAAAGGAACAGCATTCAAAAAAAAAAAAGTAACAAGCTGCAACACTGCAATTTGTTAAGCAGTTATAAAAAGGAACCTAAAGATTCTCTGGATGAAAAATTTTCAGCAGTATTATCCTTCATTACTAACACGAGCAGTGTCACTGTTACCTCCCAATCTCATGCAGTTCTGTGTACGCAAAGTCAAAGTTTTCTTTCCATGAAATAGTGGCACCATCAGCAGCAGAGTCTATGGGAGGAGTGGAGAAAAAGAAAAGACTCAGGAAAGATCAATCGTGAAGAAGACGTCCTATAGAATACGAAGTACATTCCAATGGTCATATACTATTTAAGAACTGAACCTCTTGATGGCAAAATAACAGCTCGGAGTTTCATTTCATACCACTTCCTCAGACAAAACACCCATAATGAGTCTGAGGGTATGTCTACAAGGCTCGATGCTGTGCTGTGCGGAGGCTCCTGAGCAAGCCTGGGTACCGGAAGCAGAGTAGCCCAGTTAGCCTGGTGCTCTGCACTGACCACTTTGTTCTGTTGGGAAGCCTGGCATAGAGCCCAGGTCTCCCAAATCCCCTTTAGTGCCTTCATCACAAGGCCATCTCCTTATTTAAAAGCATTTTAATTGGGGTTTTTTTAAGGAAAATTGTGTGTCCCCAAAATCAAATCAGCCAAATCAATTCCCAATCCGTGAGTCATTCAAGAATGATATGTGGCCCTACTGCCAGTAAGCATCCTCCACCCCCACCTGGGGCTTCAGATATTTCCAAATCCTTTGGCAGGCATCCCATGTGCAGAGCCAAGCCCAAAGAGTCAGGGTTCGGATGCCCCCGAGTTTTGCTTGTCCTCTGCCATATGGCTGCAGGAGGCAGCTAAGGAGGAGCCTCTCATTTCCATAAAGTTGGCGTGGCAGCCGACCAGTGAGAAGGCCCTCGTCGGAAGTCCTGTCCACAAGCAGGCTAGGATGAAACACTCCACTGCACCGTGCCATTTTAATTGTATTATCTCTGTCAGACTACTTCCCCTGCCACCATTGTGGGCACGGTATTTCCGCTGCCAGAAGCATTTTAATGCCTTAGTTAAGTGCACTAAGATGTATAAGCCTGATGGTATCTGTTTCCTTATCTGTCAAACAGCCTCCCCGGCCCTGGTCTCAGGGGGGTGGTGAGCAGTCCTCCCTGTAAATTGGTTTAATTTCTCAGCTGAAACGCCCTACAGAAGTGCAGAATGTAACAGGCCCCACCTCCAGCCCGGTGGCTTTCCCTGTCCTTAATGTAACTGCTGAACCAGAGCAATTCCAAAATCCCTGGGAATGTCCTGGCAGCATGTACACGGCACCGTCCATTTGTTTAGCACAACCACAGCTCCAGCCATCTCAGTGGTTATCTGTCTACTCCTTCCCAATGGAACTGAACAAGCAGTATTCAGAATGACTTTTGTTTGAGAAAGGAAGGATGCAACAGAGCTGCTGGCAGAGGAATGGTAAAGAGAGTCCTAAAATGGGTAGGAAAGGGATTACATAGAGCCCCTTGCATGGGAAAAGTGAAGATGGAAAGCTGAGAGCTCTCATAATGGGGAGGGATCACGGACCCGGTATGGAGTAGAACGTGGAAAGGAAGTTCACAGACCCTGTGGTACTGAAGAGAACAGAGGACCCATTTATGAGAAGGAAAACATGAGGGGAACAAAGCTCCTGATATGAAAGGAGAGGGAAACAGGGAGTTTTCTGTGACATCCGAGATTCTCACTTTTCCAAATGCTTTACTTTTAGATGGGAATAGGGGGCCACCAAAGGATATCTTGCACTTTCTTACACGAATCTCAGCTCCAGAATCAAAATGTTGTTTTGATCAATCAATGAACAGTGATGGTTGCTCATATGAGTTACGTGCATCATGTTACCCTTCTCACCGGGGCACTAGCCACCACCACCCAGTCACTAGCCACCTCCTGTCATGTACTTACCGTATTCTGGGAGCCTCACAAACTCTGATGGCTCACTAGGCAAACTAATTCCCCAGGGGTTGCTGGCACTGACTCTGAACTGATACTGGCATCCTGGGGTTAGATCTTCAATGACAAGATAGGTATCCAATGTTGAGGCGACCGACTGCTGCCAGACATGGGATCCTAGAATTTATGGAGAGACAGAGAAAGACGTGCAGTGTCAATGAGTTAACACAGAGCTAAAACCCCATGTCTTAAAACTGTCTAGTGCTATTAGCTGCTGCCATTTTGAGGTAATGCAACAGGATTATAAGCCCCATTCATGAAAAGTTATCACTGGGGGAGCGAAGCATGCTCAAAGAATTATCCATGGACATGTCACAGGAAGAAGTGTCATTTAGCAGGTAAAAATCCATTTTTTTTTTTTTTTTTTTAAAGGAAAAGATGAAGAAACTGTATCCTTATTGTTATTCCAGGAGTTGGGAAGCTGAAGCCATAGACATCTTCTTTGAAGATAAATGAGAGGACAATTAAATGCTCTTTTGTTTAGTGATAACTGACACAATGGAAAAAACACATGCAAACCTGGGCCACTAGTGGATTACTATGGCCATGGACTACAAAGGGTTTTCTGGGGGACAGACCTGATTACAGTTGGGTATTTGTGAGTTGGGAGAAAGCAGCAAAAACCCCATAAAGAGGCACACTGAGAAGGAAGGGAGGAAGCAAACCCCAGATGTAGTTAAGCTAAGAGCTCCTGGGCAAAGTACTTGCTAGAAAGAGGTTTGTAACAAACTGTGAGTAAAGAGACTATCCCCTGCTCTTTGAGGCCTATTGTGTTGAGGGACCCAGGACTTCAGGTACATTGTTTGTAAGGAATATTCACTCGATCACTCAATTCCTCCTCCTAATGAAAATAAAGTGAAATAGCTCCATTTTGGCTCATTTTCTCATTACAATTCTATTATTCTCTGTCAATGACTCCTTGAGCCATCCTGAAACCATTGTTCCCCCCTAACATATCAACTTTGCCAATCTCCACCTATATAATACTTTTGTCCTTGTCAATCTGTTCCTATCACCCCTACTACCTGTACGGTTGCCCACTGACCTCCACTCTGTTTGACAGCATCTTTCTGGGAATGAGCGCGGCCCAGATATGCAAACAGCACTTGAGGCTGTGCCTCTCCATGACCTGGCATGCAGACAAGGTTTCACGCCAGCTGTGAAATCTTGTAAAGCAATGTGGTTTTGACATGGTGATTTTCTCTCTTTGTTTGCAGGCAAAGGATTGTAGAAAAGTCGGTGGGAGAATGCCTTGTGCACTGTCATGGGAAAGCTGGGCCTTGGGTAAGATGCTTTGAAGGCTCTGGTCAAGAATCCCAGGAACAAATTCTCCAGTTGTGGCTGTTGCATAAGTAATGAGAGCTATAAATGATCTGTTAACACATGGGATGCTTCCAGGAATCAAGTCTATGCAGACTGATACCAAAAGAAATCCCACAAACTATTCTCACCCATTTAAGTGACCATGGAATAGTGGGGTGAAGTACCAAAGGACACAGCAGAGCAGGAGGTAATGCAGTTCAGAGTTTTCTCTTTTTTTTTTTTAAAGAGTGGTCCATGGGTTGTCACAGCAGTTGCAGGCTCCATTCAGCATTACCATGCCTGTCCTGAGACAGACTGGCTCCGCTGCTTGCAGCTGGGCCTACGCTGGCTCCTGCGAATGCCCAGAAACCCAGATCAATGTTATCAGTAGCCTACAAGGTACTATGGATACTACAGTCTAGTGTGACAGTTCGCAAGAAGCAACACACAGGATTCTGAGCTGCACCTCAGGAGGACCACTGAGCAAACGGCTGTATGTGGAGAAAGGAAATGAAAAGAACCAGTAGAATCAAGAATTATTACCATTCTAATAATATCTGGGACGAAAGCATCCCAGCTTCACGGAGGATGATACGACACTATAATAAATCTTGAACCTCTGGTGTGAGTGAGCAGCACGTGGTACATGCTAAGTTGGACACACATCAGCTGCTTGACCCCTATTAACACTAAGTAGCAGTGACCTGTGGAAAGCTGCATTTGTGAAGTTATAACCTCTCTAGACTGTAGCTATTACGGGGCAACAGCTTTCAGGATGCACTTGAGGATGACACATTCCAGATCCAAGGGAGCTCCCATTGCGAAAGACACCAAGGCACACAAAAGAAGGGATTTTCATATGAATGAGTGTCAGGAGGCTGAAACTCTATGTAAGCCGATCTAGCTTCAAGTTCTTACTGTAAAGTTATTGCTTTATCCACTGTGCAAGTAAACGACTATTCCAAAAGTTCACTTACAAGGCAGAGAAAGGTTGGGATATGCAGGGGGGAAAAAAGACTTTCTGGAGCTGACCTGTAGTGGAGGACTATTCAGAGAAGTATGGCTTTTTAAGGGTTTTGATTACTGCTGTTAATAGAAGAGCTATTTTTTTTTCCAGTGTGCCAGTCACATGGGTGTGATGAGGGTTAAGGCAGACCATTTGCTTTGTGAAGGGATTAATACAATTGCATGATTACATTCAAATTTCTACTTACATGTTTGTTTTAGAATGATGAAGGGAAAAAAGAAGAGGCCACATGCCTAAGGCAAGGTTTGCCACTCAGGGAGCAATGTACCTTTGTGGGAAGAAGGCAAACCGGAGCATGAATGGCTTCAAATGACCTTAGCAGAGGGCGTGCCTAGGCTGCTAGGGATGGGAGTCACATTTATTTAATTGTATCCCCTTTGGTAGGAGGGAGGGAGTGTTCGAGGGAAGGGAATTTAGTGCTGACTGGAAGGAATCTGTCAAATGTGCAGGAAATGGTGACATTGCTTGGATCCAAAAGAGAGAGCTGAATGTTGCATTCATGGAAAGAGTCATATCAAACAGGCCTGTCTGATACAGCAGTGAAAGGATAGCCAGACTTCAGATCAAGACTTGGTGCCTTTTTGGAAAGTATGCTTTAGCTAAACTCACATTACTGGGCTCAACACAAGGGTTTCAGAGTGCGATTTAATGGCCTGTGATAGACAAAAGGACAGTCTAGAGCAGTGGTTCTCAACCTTTTTAGATCTGAGGCATGTCTGGATAGACTCTGGAAAATGCCAGCTCTTAGTTTTCACTCTTTTTGACTGCAAAAAATAATAGAGCTGGTTTTCTGTTGCAAAGAACTCAGAAAGACCACAGCTATTAGATATCTCTGGGTTTTTCTTGTGAATCATGCTTGCAAACCTAACAGTGCTAACACGCTGTGGCACAGCGCAGCACCCTTGAAAGGATCTCAAAGCACCCCACGGTGTTGTGGCATCTTGGTTGAGAATTACTGGTCTAGAGAATCTAATGGTTCAGTCTGGCCTTAAACTCCATGAACAACAAAATACATGTAGCAGATTGATGGTGTGAAAACTTTTTGAACGTGGTCATGTAGCTGGAGGTGTAGATGAGGAAACTCATGCTCTCACCTAATAAACACAGCTGACGTTTCCTTACCTTCTTCTCTGTATTCTACGGTGTAGCCAGAAATGGTACAATTTCCTGTACTGGATGGGGGCATCCAGCGCAGGATCACTGATGTGCAGCTTCTTTCCTGAGCAATGGGGCGGTTCGGGGCTGCTGGAACACCTGGAGAAACAAACCAGTGTCCACCTCAGCCACTGCTTGTTCTTCGTTAACTCTGATAAAGGAAAGTCTTGCTAAGAGGCAACTACACATTGTAGACCTAAGAGTAGTTTGGGTAATAGCTGGCCTAATAGTAGTAATTGTTGCATCAAAATGCTGTTGCATCAACTCCTGGTTCATCCTATCGGTTTCCAATACTACTCTACTGCAGTGGTTGGAGAGGAAGGCCAGTTTCCTGCTCTGTTCAACTGTAGACTATCACAATATGGGGATGTAATGTCTTCTTATTCTCAGCTGGAGATCAGCTTTGCCCTGAAGCCGGAATATCTGATGTCGGTAAGCTGGCACAGTGATGTACCATGAAATGTTGACCTCTTATCTTAGAGCCAAGGGGCGCTTGGGGATTTGTAATTTTTAACCTGTAATTTGTAATTTTTAATTGTAAATGCCCTTAGTCTTACCCTTAGTTTCTGCTACAACCTCAGGGCTTGTTCCAAAGCCCATTCAAATCAGTGGAACAATTTCCATGGATTTCAATGAGCCTTTGAATGGCATTTTGGGATAACGAGTAAGTGCTGACAGTCCAAAAAAGTGACATTGCAGAAGCATGGGGAGGAACCAGAAGGGATCACTGCATTGATTATGCTTGACAATATTTATGCAGTTAATCAGGAGTTGTCAGCTCTGTAGCTGAACACTCCTGAATACAGCAGCCATTAATCTACCCATTGCACTTTTCCAGTGATTCTGGCAAATTCAAACCATCAGGGCCCATCGCAAGCACAAACAATTGACTTCTAAATGTTCACAATGCTCACAGTTCTATAAGTCAGCCATTATAAATTCATTACACCAATTATAAATTCATTACAGTGGCATCATCTCTGCTGCTGCAAGCGTATCGCATTTTTAATGTTAAAATCCCCTTTGCTGGAGCTGGAGGTCATTGGCAATCAGCTCACCATTAGTACTCATTACAATTACATGGATCCTTAATTACAGCTCTGAGAGAGTTCAGGTTTTGGAGGCATTCCTAAAGTTGAGCTCCTGCAAAAACATTTCATAAGAGTCAGATCCTTCCCTCTTCCTCCAGCGGGGAAAAGCTCTAAGCTCGCTGTCACCAATTATCATACTCCCTTGCTTCAATGCAGGCTCCGAGAGGCAAAGCTTTCTGCATGGAGGGAAGAGAGCAATATCTATAGACCCTCTTTACTGATAATTTATAACCTGAAGCAGATAAAACTACTCAGGGATCCCTCCCCATGACAGCCCCCATGCTCAAGCTTTGCCTAAGGGACACAGTTTGGGCCTTCATGGTACTGACATCACAGGAAGTGACAGTGGCTGTTAAATCGGGGAAATTTAAGGGTGGTGGATGTGCATGAGGCCAACATTTTCATACAAACATTGGCATTGAGTGCTATGAACCTGCTGCTCCCTGCACCTTCAATGGGAATTCTAGCTGAACAAGGGCTGACTTCATTTAGATTTTCATTCACCTGGAATAGCTTGTCCCATTGCTGGATACGTGGATTAAAAGTGTGCAAAGTTACGATAAGACATACTACCTTGCACTTTGATTGTAGCGGAGGTGGAAGCCGTTCCATGCTCATTGGCTGCCACACAGGTGTAAATGCCGCTGTCCTGAGGCATCAGGTTGCAGATCTTCAGGGTGAGCTCCCCAGACTCACTAGAGGTGTGAGGAAGGTCACAGTTTACAAGCTGCTTGATTAGTTAATGCTTTGTTACACTGGTTTCTCTTCCAGTGGATTAGCAGAGTAAGGATGTCTCAGAGCAGGGTGGCCAACCTGCAGCATGTGTGCCACAAGTCCCGGACAGCCCCTGCATGTGGTGCACGGCTGATTGAGGAGGAAGCAGGGAACACGTAAGCAGATTGGGCAGGGAGAAGAAAGCAGAGCAACAGATTGGGCAGCACAAGGGAATCATAGTGGCACTCAGGGAGGGCATGGGGCTTTGCTCGTGGCACACCTGCCAAAAAGGTTGGCCACCACTGTCTTAGAGGGTACAGTGGGCATGAACAAAGCACTACCTGAGGGCTATGTATTTAGGATTATTTTAGAACTACTGGGTTAAACTAGGGCCTGTGATAAGTGTGGTCAAGTCTAGTAGCTCTGCATCCCTTTATATTAGGTACATAAATTTGACCTGCTGCATGTAAGCCAAGGCCTTGTGCACATCTAAAAGGACTTACAGCTGTATCAGCAAGCCCTTCTGCTGGATATGCAGTTTATTCTGGAAAAAAAATGCTGGTACAGTTGAAATCAACCCTCCAAATGGATGAGGCTGTACTGGCAAAGGATGTTTTTTGCTGGTAGAACTGTTTCGCTTTTGCCATCATAGCCAAATTGGGTAGGGTGGTGACAAAAAATCACAACCCTGACCATCAGACCTGTGCTGAGAAATCTTTTCGAGTGCAGGCCTGGCTTACGGCATCTGTCAGTCTTGTTTGGCACCAGGGACGCTCATGGAAAAAGAACCAATGAAGGCAATGAAGATACATCATGAGGTGAAAGCTAATATATAGGGAAAAACGTCACACGAGGAGTAATCACCCTCCTAACTACCAACAGGAAATCTGCTGATCTACTTGCAGTGATTTACTTGGTAAGTGCAAACAGGGCAACATAAAGCATCATAGGGACAGCTTTTCAAACGGATGGTCTTCCTGGGTTCTTGTGATTAGGCAGAGCTTTCTGAGGAATGGGTTCAATACCATCTCTCTTATTTCTTATTTTTGATTTGCAACTCTTTCTCCAGGTTTCATCTGGACCTTGCCCAAAAGGGTTGATAAATCTCATGGGAAAAGCCATTTCCCTAGAAATTTCCTGTTCAGTTTTGAAGACCCGAGTGGGCCAGATAAACTGTAGATGAGCATTTAGGTTCAGGCCACTCGTCTCAGCTGAGCTCAAATTCCAGATCCTGGGAGTTGTGTAGTGCTGACTGTAAAGCGCTCTGCAAAAATCAAAATGTTTTGTTCCTCACCCCTGGTAAACATCTGGCATCATGATGACCTATCTTTCTGTCCAAGAATGGCCAGATGTAGTTTTAATTGGAGACATTCAGTGGTCTGCTCGGAACTGCTGGGTTTAATTCTTAGAGCAGCACAAATTGCTACCAGCTCTCAGAAATTGGACAGACTCCCAGTACATCTCAGTCTGGGGAACCACAGACTCACCTCAAGTTGCAAACTTTGGTTCCCCTACCTCAAGCACAAGTATCACACGGCTACAACCACAGAGTAGGCAGGCCTGGAAAGTCATGCCTTTAATGTTTCTTGCAATCTGGTTGGAACCGTCACCAAGTTTGATAGGAATGCAACTGTCAACAGTCCCAAATACTTTGGGGTCTAACACATGCACTTACCAGGACGACACTGTGTAAGTGGCTGTGCTGTTGTCATTGTCAAGGATATTTTGATCTGGTCCTTTCCAGGTGATGGTTGGCTTTGGGCGTCCACAGACTTTGCACTGCAACATCACCGTGTCGCCCAGCAAACAGGTAACATCCACTAGTGGCACAAGGAATTCAGGAGCCACTAGAGAAAACCACACGCACACAAGTCCTTTTAACTCAATAGAAGAAGTGTTCTTCCATCCAGGCTGGGTACTAGAGTAATGTACCTTATAAAGAGACCTGTCCCTTAATTATCCTTTAAAAAGCTTTGAACCAGATAAAGGACCTGCCAAGCTTACTGCCCCCATTCCCCTCGCCCCACATTATGCTACTGAGAGCAGGGGATGGGATGCTCCCTTGAATACATTACTATAATTCAACCGTATGAAGAAGTCCACTTCCATGGCTAGAGCACAGTTGCTAACGAACTCACCTTCTTGGATGAAATTTGGGTTAATGATCTGAAAAATACAAAGAAATAGCCATATTTATTTTTCTCGATGACAAAAGACAGGCATCTTCTTTCATTAAGTTCAAGTGGAGAAGCTGACATGAAATTCAGAGGCGCTGTCTAGACAGCACTCAGGACGTTTCTAACAACCAACTCATGGAGGAAGCTGCTGTAGGCGAGTTCTACAGCGATCGGGCATATTCAAAAGACTAACGAAAGTAGTGGCTCTTCATCAGTGTTAATTGCATCACAGGCAACAACCGAACTCCCTGAAAACTCCGGCCTACGTTTTCTGTTATCATCATGTACGTGGCCGTGATCTTCCTAGTCTTAATTCCTTTATTTCCACAATCATGTGATAAATTGCGTCCCCATGTAGTCTACTGCACTTATCCTGCCTCCTTGGCCATCTCCCCTATCCTCTCTCTCTCCACTAACCCTTCTTGGATATGTCTTTTAACCGCCAAGCACATTCAGCCAAAAGAAAAAAATGCCACAAAGCTGCTCACTTCCTTTCTCCAGCTATGCCACATGCCTTCCCTTTGCCCTATATGAAAGAGTGCAAACCCCAGTGCAGGCAAATTCCAGTCTAATATCATGATCCATCATAACTAAAAAACATTTATTTCCATGGATTGCTAGAGTTACACCCAGTCTTCATCTCTTGAGGGTTATCCTTTGCAGTTATGCAATGTAGCATAGAAATAATTTGAAAAACAACTGCCATTCAGTGATAACTAAAGCAACCTGACCTTTTACCTTAAAGCTGTAAAACTCCCAAAATAGCCTATTTCAGTTAAGTTTCTCTGAAGTTTACCTCTGAAGTTCCAGCTCTATTTTTCTTGATGGTAAACAGTGGGGTGATTATTTTACTGGCCCCGGGTTGTGGCTTCATCTCCCAAATTCATGTCCTTGCACTGTGACCAAACACCACACAGCCCACCATGCTTGCCCCTGCTTATCTCTCTCTGTGGCGGGGGCTGGCGATGTTTTTGGCCCCAGTGCCAAAAACAACCCAACCCAGACCCATGCCTCAACTTGGCGTGCCCAAGGCAGAGGGTGGGGCAGCCCCGATGGGCCTGATTCTTGCAGCTGGCAGTGGGTGCACACACACCTCTGGGTGGGTGGTGATGGAGGGGTCAGGCTTGTGCTGCCCCAGCCCCTTCCCAGCCATGGGCCCTGAGGAACACGTGCACCCGCTGCTGCCAAGGAGCTGGTGCCAGGACCTTGGACCCCAGTGCAGCTGTCTACAGCCTGCCCACCATCTGCTGCAGCTGCTCAGCACCTGGGCCAGCTGTGGCAGGCTGCTGGGAGGCTGCAAACAGCTGCGCTGGGCTCCAGACCGCTGACTGGGCTCCATGACGGTGGTGGCTTCATGTGTGCCTCAGGGTGCACAGCAGGAAAGGGGCCTGGGGCAGCACAACTCTGGTCCCTCCCTTGCCGTCAGCCTAGAGGTGCTCATGCAGCTGCCACTGCCACAGAGCCCGCTGCAGTTGTTTGCAGCCTCCCAGCTGCCTGCCACAACTGGCCTGGGTCCTGGGCAGAGCCCCGGCTGCTTGTGGCAGGGTGTGCAGCCCCTCGGCTGCCTACTGTGAACAGCCCGGGCTCCGTGGCTGGTGGTAGCTGCCCAGAGTTAGAGCTGGCTGTGGTGTGCTGGGCAAAATAGGCTTGCGTGCCATGCTCTGCCCTGCTCAATGGGCATTTACTTCAATGGATTGTGGATCAGGCCCCCAAGAGCACGTGTAGTGGTACTTGGGAATAAACTTTTGAAATGAAATGAAAATAACTTTCCATAGCACAGATGAGCCATGCACTGGAAGACATGTCCAGTGCAGGAAAAGGATGACCTTTGAGCTATATTCTGCCCGATAACACTCATACCCACAACCCCAGAAGCAGCGGAGATATGAGAATGTGCTGGCTGCTGGCCCATGCTAGAAGGTGATGAAGAGGATGCTCTGATGGTCCCCTTCAATACACAGCGTGGCAAGGTGCAACTGCAGGTGGTAAAGGGAAAAGAAACGGACATGGCCTCTAGGTAGAGATACGCTGTTATGTTCACCCAGGGAACTCATGCATAAATGACCCCCAGGCGCGAGGCTGGGAAAGAGCACTGCCACACTGCCTGGCACAGCATATATTGTAAACGATGTACAACTATACATTCATTGGCACGAGCAGACTGAACAGACAGTAATTTTGGATTCACACATGCTTATTCACCACATTCACGTTGCTCACACGTATGCCTGCTCCTACAGATCTCCAGGTGATAAGTCCAGATCTCGGAGGCTGTGGAGCATTAGCTGCCTGCCTTCACAACCACAGAAAGTCGGAGGCGAGCCTACCCAGGCTGGTCTTAGGCAGAAAAATTTGAGATCTGAGATATTTTACTGCCTGATAATAGCCAGAACATAGCCCTTTAGGATAGGTCTCAAAAGAAATCAGGATTTACCACCCTGGATGAGATGATCGATCTTTCCAAGCCAGCACTCCCAAAGCAGTCATCATCTGTACATCTACACCCTTGTGCATCTGCACTAACTGCATGCCACGCCCAGGAGCACCACTATATCTGCTCATTCCTGCCAAACCCAGGGCAGGAGGCAGCCCTAAGCATGTGCCAATAAACACGCCCAAGGCAAAAAGCTTCAGAGCAGGGCTCTCAACATGGCCCCATGGAAGTACATTGCCTCTTTGGAGGGAGTTGGCTTGCACAGATTGAGAGTGAGTGGGTGGGCAAGGCAGGCTTCATGGCTGGGCTCTTGGCACAACAGAGAGTTAGAGACAAGCCCCAAGTGATGCTCTGGGGCAAAGTCCACAATACATTCCCTCATGGTGCAGCTGACTGGCCGTGCCCTTATGTCCGGGGGTGGATGCACACTTCCATGACATGTTCCAAGTACAAAGGAGATCACTAACCTTTCATTCCTGGGATCTGTATAAAAAACAAAAACACCTTCCTCATCCAAGGAGTCTTTGAGGACTTTTTTTTTCCAAGCCCAGTTTAGATGTTACTGTGAAAAAGAGTCTCAAATCAAATACACGTTAAATAAAGATCACTCATCTCCCCAAAATGCATGGCCATCCCTTCTGCTGGTAATCACCATCAGCTGGAGTATGCGTGCGCCAATGTGCTTTGTTGCCATCCATGCCATTGCAATCAGATATGGACAGCTGCTGGTTTGAATGCAAGCACTTTGTCTTCATGCACTTAAAAAGGCAGAAAAGCAGATGAAGCATCCTGGACATTTCTGTAGGAAACATCTGAAGAGCAGGTCAATCAGAAAAAATAATCATAGCACCTTTCACCCTTGATGGATCTGCCCCCGGTTCTACTGAGAAGCAGAGCTGCTGACTGCAGCGGTGAAACCGCTATGGTTTTTTCCCCCTTCCCTTTAGGCTTGGGTGCAGGAACTGGGTTCTGTTCCTTCTTGGGTATCGTTAACTAACTGTTTAACTAAACCAGCTGGAGCCTTGCACAGATGTCACTGAGGGTACAACTTGGCAGGAAAATCATCAGTACCAGCAGCAATACATGAGAAAGTGAAGGCACCTTCTTGGTGTTCAGATGCTAGGTGAGGTCTGCAGCTCTTACAGTTAGAGAGAGGTAGGGGGGACCTGGAAGATCTTTTTACTTGTGCACTGAGAAGATCTGACCTGGACCCCCAGAGACAAGGGTGCCCTTCAAGTAACTTTCAAAGCCGAATCACAGCTTATAACAGTTATTCACAGACGTTCCTGGAAAGAAAAGACGACCCTCCGTACATACTTGGCAATCTCAGACCGGGCTGCAGGGAGGAAGCACGGAGGAGCAGCTGGTTTAACCATGTCAGGACCAGCCAGTCCTCTGTGTGAAGAGCCTAATTCAAAGCCCACTGACGTCAGGGGGATTGAGAGAAGTCGCAGTGCAAGTCCGAACTGGAGAACGATATGCTCCCTTGCTGATCCCGGTGTGGGTTAATATTGGACTTGGGCTGTCCTTCTGGAACGGGGTCATGGGCACAGCTGTGAGCGATTAGTAGTAGGCAGGAGGGTCCAGCAGAGAGAGCCATGCTACCTCTGAAGAACTGATGGGGGTGGACTTGCTTGGACTGACTTAGCAGCACTTGAAAGCAAGCCCTAGGAGCCAACATCTGAGTCATTGCTCCCAGGCGCCGCATGTTCCCAGCAGCTTGTGATGTCTCGCCCCACCTCTAGGAAAGGAGATTGCAGCAGGGTAGAAAAACCCTTGATCTTCCTGGAGTGCTGTCTTGTTCAGCTGCTTTTTAGGTCGGACAAGGAGCTAAGCCACTCAAGCCTTCCAGCTCCCAGGTCCTGATTTTTGCTGCCCTTGTAGGGGTTCCCAGCTGGGTGTCTCCGTCTTGCACTCTCACTAGCCTCTCCACGGAGCGGTGGGCATGGGGGGGGAGACTGCTTCCGGCTGCACCTCCGTAGAGGCAGCACCACCCTCACCCCATGGCCTCCTTCACCCTACTAAAGCTGCAATGGCCCTTATCCCTATGCTGGGTGGGTGTGAGGGCTGTGGACAGGACTTTTTTAACGATGAGGAGAAAAGGAAGAGGAGATGGATGGGATGGATCTTGGAACGTCAACATCTAGACCAAGCCCCTGTGGCTGGTGTGAGGGCCCAAGCAATGCGAGGTCTCAGGAGAGAGGCAGAACTGCCCAGAGAAAAGCATGGGAGATGAAGGGAGGGCAGGTCAGTAGTGTAATTTGACGGGGGGAAGGGGATTGCACCAGCTCAGGGCACCTATTCAGAATAGGGGCTGGAACGGCCATCCTCAGGGACCCTGCGCCACTGCTGTCACAGCAGCCCGGGACTGGAGAGTTATGCTAAGGCAGCACCAGCTTACACTTACACACCTCTACCAGCCCCGCACGACATCTTTGCTTCGCCCAGTCTGGGATGCCAACATTTTAAATTACTCCTTTGGGGTGGCCAAGGGAAAGGACCCTCTTCCCTTCTCATGTACATCCCAGGCGATGGAAGGTGGGATGAGGACACAT